TTAGTAAGCCTTGGGACCTGACATGGTGGACTTGGTAATGAATATATTCACAGATCCAGGTCAATGTGTTTAGGTTCTAAACTACAAGCAAGCAATAGGCAATAAATTCTACAGGGTTTAGACAAAATGACCATGAATTGTGCTCTGCAATATAAAAGAACCAACTCAACAACATACTTAGCAATCTCCATATCTTTGAAAAAGTCTTGTGAAACATAGCACACATCTTCTTTCACCTGATTAATTACATGAGTCTCATCCATGACGTGGAGTTGCCTATAAAATTACATTAATTTCAGAAAATGATGTTACTTGTATTTAAACATTTCATTACCAGTCTATTCTGAGTGCTAAATTAAGATTTATTTAAACTTGTACTAGTTAGCTATTACATTCTGAAAAAACACATTTAAGGCTAACCCTTAGAGTTAGGTTTGGTAGACCAAAGAAGCACAGTAGGGTGAATAATTATTCCCAACATTGCACTACTTTATTTGGCTATCCACATGCCACATTTCTAAAGTATCCACTTTGGGAAATGGGAAGCAAGCATAGATAAAGTTGAATAATTGAACATTAAAAGAAAAACGGTTATTTTCCATTTTTTAATTACTAGTCTTAAGCTGCTGTTAGATAAGGATCTGTTTAATCTTAACATTTGCTGCTAAACGAGAGCAACCCATATTGGTCATAATTTTCCCTAAAATCCATTTTGATGGTGTAATAAAGTTATTACGCCACCATGAATTTTGGAATCTGCTGGACAAGTTATGCTAATATCAGGCTCACAGAATAATCTGAGAGTTTCTTACTATGAAGGGTGCAATCCTATTAACATTAACTGGGAATAAGCCCCACTGAAATTTAGACGGGTATAGGATTATGCTGTAAGTGTGTTTAGGACTGCAGGTTAACACCTATCCTGAGTACTCTTATATGCCGAAACCCGCTGAGTTTGTTTAGCTGTGCCTAACTTTCTATAAAATTGGTGGCACAAATTCAACATGGAAAGGCCAAGACTGGGGACAGAATCCTGGCAATATTTTGTCTTTTTGAAGGCAGGTTCATATGAATTATTATTTCAGATTAATGCTGCATTATTTTTTCGCAGTAGCAAGTTTTATAAAATTTAGTAGGGTTCACCTCTATGTGAGGTCCCCAGCCAGGAGGCTTATGTAGGAGTGCCGTCGCTCCCGTCGCGGGTCCAGACTACCCAGACATCCCCTCCTCCTTCCCTGCCCCAACGTGAAGATAAACAGGTGGACACTCACGAGTTGGGAGAGATACCCAAAGTCAGGGGGTTAGTGGATAAAGGAGTTGATACCAGTGACCTGGTGCAGGCACTGAAGGGGTTAACCCCAGCGCCTTCTGATGGGGCTTGCTCTGTTGTTTATTTTTTGTTATTTTTTTAAAGCCCCAGCGCCTTCTAATGGGACTTGCTGTGTGGTTTTTTTTGTTTGTGGTTTTTTGGGTAATTTGGGGGGGACTGGAACAGATTAATCGCATTCCAATGCATTCCTATGGGAAATGTTGCTTCGACTTACGACCATTTCGGGTTATGTCCATCTTCTGGAACGGTTTATGGTTGTAAGTCGAGGCACCATTGTACTTCTGTGGTCTCACAAGGGGAAGCTGGCTTCAGGTTGCACCTGTCAGTAGGTACACCACAGCCTGCTCTTGCCCTATAAACCCAACAAAGAATACTTCTATCATAATCAACTTTATACAAGATAGCAATATTTAATCAGTGCTTTACCTGTAAGAGATTATCTCCTTCAGATGGTTAGTCAGGAGTTTTCCTCCAACATTAATCCTGGAAAAAAGAAAAATTTTCTTAAGTCTTTATGTACTTCACGAACATAATCATCTCTTTTTCTTAAGAGATCAATATTTTACCTTACAATTGCCTCTTTCTTCTTTTTGCTTCTGCAGTAAGGCACTATGTGCGTAAAAGAATAGCCACTGTCCACAATGATACAGCATAATTCTGATGGGTTATCCCTGAAGTATCTGTGGGCACTAAGAGCCCCAGCTGGAACATAATAACATACCATAATGTCAGGTATATGAATAGAGAGAGGATACCGGATGCATTGATATAATATGGAAAATATCATACCAATCAATACCAAAATATTGCAAAAACATGATTTTAGAAAACACTACACCAGAATGTCAACACTCACCATTTACTCTGAGAACTGCTTGGAACTGGTACTCTTCAAATAATATTTCATTCATGGATTCCTGTATTGAACTGAAGTTGAAATAAGGCTCTGTGATGATGATATTGGTATCAACAAAGTCTACCTGCATAGAAAAATATATCAATATTTAGTTTATAGTGTTTAAAAACTAGATGAAATGGGTCCCTGGCAATTAGGGTCACTTCTAATAACCATTAGGTACATATTATATTTCAAAGCAATTCACATCTCAGTACCCCATACAACTATTTTAAAAGACAGTTGATATTGTCCTCTTATTACACTTGAGAGACTAAGATGTGAGGCCAAGATGAGCTCTGGAAATTTTCTTATAATTCATAGCTGAGACTTCTAGTTGATGCACTAGTTGTCAATAGTGCTAGCATGCGTATTTACCTGGAAAAATTATACATTATTGGCTAAATTCAATATTAGTTACAACTAGAGCAGACTCACTTTAAAGCAATGGCATCACATTTTTGTAACATAGGTTGCATTCTTTTCAACAGGGCTGCTTTGTAGAGACTAACACTGGATTTGTTTTTAATGTGCCTTCAAGGCAGAACCAACTTATAGTGAGCCTAATAGGGTTTTCAAGGTAAGTGAGATATTGTTTTGCCACTCACCTAGTGACTTTCCATGGCTAAGCAGGAATGTGAACCCAGGCCTCCTGAGTCCTGGTCCATTACTATATCCACTACATACTGGGTATAACACTGAATCTAGCCTTATATGGCAAAGTCTTCATTTTGCTTATAAAGTCAATAAAGTTTGACTTTATTGCACAATTGAGCAGAATGTGAATTAAGTGATTCAGGCTGCTGTACTATACCCACTTTCTAAGACTTAGCACCACTTGACTCACTTGTTACAGAGCTTATATTCAGTAGGCATATAAAGAATTACAGTGTCAATACTGTATTGTATATTTGTTGAGTCATTTATTAGCATAGCATAATAGAAAAACATTCACTGTTATACAAATGCAGTTTAATCTTCAGTTCTGCCCCATAACCTCCAATACCTCCCTGGATACAGTCTCTTTCTGCAGTCTGCCACCTGTTCCCCTAATTGTCCAGGGCCCAAAGATGCCTTGCCTTTCAAATGCCCTGCTTTTCAAAAACATTATAAGGGTGGCTTGCACTAAGTGGCTACCAACAGTATAAATGAACTAATGCCAACTTTTTGATATGCATCACACTACATGCTTAGAGACAATGACAAGCCATGAGTAATCAATGGCTTACAAAATGTAATATTGTGAAAGATGTTGAGGTGAGCATTCTGTAAGTGAGGCTGAACATACTAAATTCTAGACTCTAAGACACGGCTACCAAAATCTCCAGATATCATGTGGACAATTTCATTTGCTGATACTTCATTCTGGATATTTACAATACCCACATTCAGCAACCATAATTTAAATGCAAAGCACTAATCAGGACTTTCATAGCTTACATTAAAGCAGATTCATAAATGATCCAGGTATTAAGCTACCCCCTGTGATATATGTTCCGGTTCTCAGTCAAGGCACACTAAATGTTTTATTTACCTGATACATTTCTTTTCCAAAGAGGTAGTCCCAGACTTGTCTCTGAACATCCCAGTTTACCAAGTAGCCCTGCATTTCAAAAAGGATTTTATAAGTTATCATTTGCTACCTGTATTATATCACACTGCTTATTCCATTATTTTTCAGCACTGTACTAACAAAATGAAATATTTTTAAATTATTTTGAAAAAAGAGGAAAGGCACAATATAAAGTATACTATACAGAAGAACCTGATGCTCATATCAATGGCTGAGACGCTTTACAATTAAATCTGATAAAATACTTCATGTGCATATTAGAGCACTGTTGCCAAGATTTCAACAGCATTGATTTTTAAAATTTAAAATCAGATGCAAGGAGTAAATACATTTAGGGCTCTACTCACAGGAGACACCATGTGGAATTGAGCTTCACAGGCAGATACCTAAATCACTCAGTTATCCAGCTAGTGATTGTCTTTAGGACTTTGAAGTTGTTTTCACACATAACAGCTGCCAAATCAGGTGTCATCCTTGCTATGTGTTCTTCTAATTTTTCCCACCTGAATGCCATCCTTCAGCTTTATCTCTGTTAAAATCAGGTGTCATCCTTGCTATGTGTTCTAATTTCTCCCACCTGAATGCCATCCTTAAGATTTATCTCTGTTGAAACTCATTTTGTTTCTTTTGGCCCAATTCTCCAACCTGTTATCATGAATCCTGAGCCCCCAATTCATGGCTAGATGCAGCCCCTAGAGATACTTTTATCTAAGAGAAGCTTTTTCAGATCTTCTCTCCACAATCAATGCAATATTGTATGGCCTCAAAAGAATCAAGTTGGGTTCATAACAAAGTCTTAATTTGAGGTTATGTTTTGGAAGCCTCTCATTGTAAAACCCATTCCTTTCACAATATAGTTTTCCTGATGAACAGAGCAAAATATACTTCAGTTCTTATTTAGCATTTACAGTACAATCCTCTGCATGTTTGGAGAGTTGTTAGCTTTATTGAGTGCATTCGGACTTCCTCCCAGGCAATTCCTTATTTTACGGGTAAACTGCACTTCCTGGAAGCTTCTGGGAGAGTTATTCATCTTTTAAAGAAACATTTAAAAGCATTTTGCAGGGGCAGAAGCTTTGGGAATTCCAGAGATTACAAAAACAGATGGAGGAGTCTCCATGGGGCCTATGGAAACACGGAATCATTCACTGGATCTAAGCCATAGCAAGCTTCATTTTACAAAAACAATGAAACATCCTCCTACCCCTCTGAATGTTATTTACTATAATTATATTATCAGTATGTTGCAACAGACTTCTAAATACTAGTGGTTTTAAAAAAATATTGTTCAAAGTTGGAGCTCACTTAAATGTAATCTACAATCTGAGTAAAATTATATCTCCAAATTTCAATTACCTTCTGGAAAGGAAGAATATAAAAAAGCCCAGATGGATCTTTAATTTCATCCAGCTGGTTAGCTGTGAATGTTTTCAAGCGAGCAGTCTTTGATCTAAACTGACAGTTGGGAATAACACTGTAGGAAGGAAAAACAAACAACACACCAGCTTCCTAAATACATATTTTAACAAGCTGCCAAATATACATTGGGGTAGAAAAAGTGTGGCCTTCCACATGTTGGTTAGAATCCCATGTTCAGGTACTAATGTCCCTGCAACTAACTTGAGGAGGAGCTGAGAGGCATACTGGTTGCACTGTCAGATGTGTGACCAGACACACCGTATCAATTAGCTGCAATAAATTACACAAGCCTCCTGTGAAGACCAATGGAATTCTGGCCCTTGTTGGACTCAAATTCCTCTGCATACCAGTGTACAAAGACAGAGCAAGAGCTCTAGGCCAACAACATCTGCACAACTACTGGAATCATCTTCCCATAAGTAAACATCAGATGCTTAATTTAAAAAAAAAAACTTGCAATAGGCTGTTAAAATGACATTCTGCAAAAACGTAGGGTGGAATTGGCTAACAACACCCCTTTCATCATAGATTGCAAACAGCAATAAAGTTGTTTCTGCTTCTGGCCCATCAACCAGAAAAAGCTATCCAATTCCATAATAGGAACTGGGAATGCAGAACACTTTTCAAATACTAGGCAAAGAATTAAATCTTGTTATCGTGTACAAAACAGAGCCAAGACTGTACTTCTGAGTTTTGCAACAGCCTGAAATGATCAACAAATCCTACAAGGCTGACATTGATTACTAATTTTTGATCAGCAATTTCATTTGCCCCTCTGGTTTTCAGTCTAATCCTATGCAGAAAGAGGTCACAAGCAAATTCATACCCAAGCAATCAGACACAGCACTGGAGCCTCAAAAATATCAAGGCATCATGAATAAATGGAATGCATTCATGTAGTAGTGTGTGGGGGAGGGAAGGGGAAAGCTGTGAGCGCTCAGAAGTTAAAAGTCTGCAGCCAAGTCATCTGCTGTCACCAACGTATCACTTCATCATTGGGCATTTTACTGTTGAAAGACGTGCAAGTTTCTGAACACGGTTCATTCATTCAAACCATCGACCCATAAAGCCTCCTCACACGTGCCTGCTCCAGAAACTTCACAGTCCTGCTAACGTCTTGAACTGCAAGCAGTCCTCCCTTTTTTTCCTGAAGCTGATTCGCCGATCCGAAGACGGCTTCTCACCTGACGTGAGCGTGACTGTACCCGATCTTCGCGTTGTAAGCCCCGTTATCCAACACAAGCGTCGCCATCTTCCGCCTTCTCTCTCCGACCTGTGGGGCGCCGCCTCCCGGGTTAGGAAGGAAACGATCTCAGCCTCGGGAAGGACATCGAAGCGCGGCTACTGCTGCCGCCACCCAGTCCGCGGCACTTCATCCCTGACCGACCAGCCGCCTTCCCTTCAATCCTTCAAAGCCTGTGCCACCACCGGATATGAGGGGAAATCCGCGTGTGGTCTCTCTCTCCCTTATGTCTCTATGCCTTGCTCTGCTGTGAGCATAGACGTATGACTTAAATGGTTTTTGTAGAGGTGATTCTGTTAATCGGTTGCGGCGTGTGTAACAAAAATGAATGTAAAAACAGGATGGCACCTTAAAGACTCCTTGGTTTACGTCATTCTAAAGTTTTCCTGGATTACAATCCACTTCCTTAAACACGGAAATAAATAGATATAAATAAATCAGTCAGTCTGACGCCACTATCCTTTTTTTTAAAATTTTTGTCATGTAGACTTAAATTAAAAGAGCGTTTCCGGTTTAAATAATTGTTATTTTGCTTACCGACGGAAGCGAAAACTGAAAATTAAAGTCAATAGATTGTTGGCAGAAGAGGTAAGTAAATGTTTGAGAGGAACACAAGGTCCTATCCAGACCTGCTTTCTCCCACATATACTTCACGCATCTCATCTCCATCTCACTCCTTAGCCAAATCTTCACACACACCCACTCAGTCCCTTCATTCACTATCACATTGACCTGCCCTCTCCACACCTCCCTCCCTCCAGCAACTGGCAACAGGCAGGATAGGAATTTTGGGTCCGTCTCACCTGATTGGCATATAAAAGGTGGGTGGACGTATTTTGCCTATCCCACACTGTTTACCCATGGGATTCTGAGGGCTATTCTAGGTTTGAGTCACATTTAAATAGGTCAACCTGTCAGGTAGTGTGGAAGAGAAGGTGAGTTTCAGTGAGCTCCCAAAAAGCACATGGGGTCCTACTGCACCCAGGATCACAGCAACCAGGATATAGTGTTTCACTTGGTGGGATGAGGGGTGAATAAGGTATAGTCCCATCCATTGCATGTCTTAGTTCTAGACAATTGGGTGGATGGCAGATAGGGAGGTTTTTCTTCCCAGTCTGTGGCCAGCTGGGTACAAGCTGTTCAGGGGACAGCTCTGACCAGGGCTTGAGACTCACACACTTAGGATTGGAGAGGGGGTAAGAGATACCCGTAGAGCCTGCCTCAGGGATCCACATGACATCAAGGCCCCTCTGCAGGATGAGAGTAATTGGAGGTTAAAAGCAATAAAGTGTGGACCTAATTAACTCCAACACCTGTGTCCATCTCTTTATTTTGGGAGTGGGTGGGCAGAGATTAAATAACAGTGGTGGAGGAAAATATTGAATGTTAATTTCATGAACGTTAAAATGTGAATAAATCTACAGTGTTTTGGAAATTCATAGTATTACTGTATATTCCAAAGTGTCAATAGTCAACAAGGGACCACAGCGGAATATTTTAACTACAAAAATTCTCAAATTCTTTCCAGACAGTTTACATGTTTACTCTACATTTTCTCTTTTGCATTGTTTTTCAACCGCTCCACAGTTCATCTCAAAAGCAATCTTGACTGCCACTAGCAAAGTTCCATCTCCCACCC